TTTATTTCAAGTTCGATGGGATAGATGCGTTGAACAAAGTCACCAAACTTTGAATTATTTAGTGAGAGGACATCATATATATAGCGGAACGTGAAGTTAAAGGATAATGCTAGTTTCTTTTCATTCATGTGTAACTTCAAGGCATATTTTACCGGCGATCGATATCTCTCAAAATTGCTGCACTTTTCTTGTATCCCTGGTGCTTTCGACTGGAGAACCGTCGTACACAAGCATCGCACAAGTTGACACTCTGAGGCGGGTGGGGAGCAAGAAGGTGAACTGTGGTTTATTTTTATCAATAGTACCGCTTAAGTCGACGCTAGGGACCGTCTTGACCTTGTTGTAGGGTATGAATGATTCGTTCATTGTTGAAGACCCTACATCAACTGTCAAGATGAAGAACAGGAGTAAAAGCCCTGTTCATTGATAATTTTCTATGTTTTCTATGTATTGTGTGCGATTTTGTCCCATGTACATTTACTCCATATCCTTTCATTTTCTATTCCTCAGAAGCTCTTGTATTAAGTTAGCCTCGTAGGAATGAGGGAACCAATCGGCAGAGAAGAGGAGCACAGTTGGTTCACAAGGGAATGTCATTTTTTTGTTGACGTCCTCCAAACGACACATATATGTTGTCAATCAAGAAATGAAGCATCTTGATCTGCTGATAATGTCAGTTTCAGAATATTTTTTTGTTTGAATCAAAGTGTTTTTTTACAGAGTACGTGTATCCCTCCACAAGACAGGATACTTATATATACGTTGGCCATTCATTTTGATTAAACAAAAACAGTAAACTACTAGTAACAATCATATACATTTGAACGATCGATCATCACTACTTTTGAGACGACCAGTTAAATTTTACCTGTCGGTGTCGTCGTCAACTGTAGGTATAGACATTTATTGAAAAGGTCTTCTAGAGACGCTTGGACTTTCGACTTTACTTTACATTTGTTATCGGCGATAGAAAAGGTCTACTAGCGACGGCCGGACTTTCGACAGTACTTTAAATTTGCAATCGGCGATTTTAAAACATTGTTGAATTGGATTATCTCCCGTATAACACTGAGAACAAAATTTCATTAAGAAGGAAAAAACCGTAACGGATGCATTATTGATCATAATACATGTATGTGAGATAAGTCAAATACTTAAGGAAAGTACAAGCTATGTCGAATTTCAAGACGCTTCTAATAATGGGTTACTTTAAAGGTACGGGAAACCTCTGAATTTGTTTAATTCATGAACCGCCTTCAGTGTAGAAGGTCGTTCTTTCAATCCCTAGTCGGGTCAACCATGGCTTAGGTAGCAATATACAGTTAGGAACAAAATTAAAAAATGTACCCTCATAAGTTTTACCATCCCCTTTTCCTTGCTTTATTACAAATTCTATTTACTGTTTGTGTCATACATGTGCATAAGTATCTTCCAGAGAGAGATTTAATATCCCGTAGTTTAAATGGTTAAAGATAATTTCTTTTTGGTGTATCCATTGCAACAACCTGTATGTATTTGCATTAAAATAGCCCATAAAACATGTAAAAATTAATCTTGATGTTCTTATAAAGCCACTTTGAAGGCTAAATTAGTCATCAGCTGTCTAAAAATAAATTTTATTGCACAATAACCTTTATATTTGAAAATTCCACCGTGGCCAAAATCCGAAACCACATTCCTAACTATGTATTGCTACCTTATTAAATTGATATTTGCAGATTTTTTTCCCCCACTGAACACGCGGCATTAAGAATTAAGAACAAAAACTTGTTGGCTTGGAACCAGAATATTGTGTCCTGATAGAGAGACGTGTCATCCTGTGAGCAGTAAGTTACCTTGTGAACTAGCACATTAGAAATACGATCCAGCGTGTCGGTCTATTACAAAGCAGGTTTCATATTCATATCGTATTAAGATGTTCTCGTCCTGAATATGCATGCAATTTACCACCGGAAGTTAAAAAGAATCAGCTAGTTGATGAAACTTAATGCTTAATGAAATTTGAATAATAAAGTGTCTACATGATACACTTCAACAATAGTATAACCATTTGTTCTATGTCCATAAAATCAACTGTGTGTATGTGCTACTCATTGATAATGAAGACAACTTTGAAAAAAATGCAAAATTTGCAATTCATATAAAATTTTGCATCGAAGGACACCCTTACCAAAATGAATTAAACTGTATCTGAAAAATACTTCGATAAACATTGATATTGGTTAAGAATGTTTGTCTCATTAAATTTTATCGAGCCTTCGACATTTTGTCGCGGAAGCGAAATAATATAATAAAATATTATCGTAAACATTATAATATGACAGTTTTATTAGGATTGGAAAACAAGTGAATTTTCACTTTTACAAATTTCTCTCCCATATGATATAATAATAGATGGATGGCGTCAACATATTTTTTTTTTAACTGAAATAAAAAGTAATTGTTGACCATATCCACTACTGTACTACAGTGCTACCAAACTATACAGGTAATATAAATATAGATTAACGAAAATTTTTTTATACATAATTATATATCTCAATGCATGTATATAAAATTCATACGAATCTCTTTGTTTTAAGAATAAAATCTTGAATAATAAGAAAGTTATCAGTATTCTTAATGTCGGATATCAAAGGATGACCATATAGTAAGTTATGTTTATTAGGCTGACATGACAAGTTACTCAGCATAAACTCTCTAAGTAATTGGTACTGCGGACAACGCAATAAAATGTGTTCAGATGTTTCAATCTGTCTACATTTACAAAAAGGATCAGTAACTAAATTTTTTCTATACAAATGTTCATTCAGACCACTGCTCTCAGTTCTGATTCTAGTATGCAAAATTTGTCCTAGTCTACTACCACTGTAAAAACATTTTGGGACAACCGAAGTTTTCTTTAAAAACTTCTTAAAAATATAAAAGGAAGAATTTCTTATATGAATCGGTCATAAAGTCTTGCGATTACATGATCAAGACATAGAATTAGAAGAAAAAAAATGATTTTTTTAAAATATGTCTCTATTTTTCTGAAAAATGGGCCTAGCTTTTGTCAAACAACAATACACTTTTACACTGTCAGCAGCAATCGCAGGTGAAAGACAAGATTCTATGGAACCCTTTAGGTATTCGACCACTAATTCACTCATTTCAATTTAGGACGTATGTAAAAGTAACCCTTCCCTGACAAAAATAGTGCTTTTGATGTCATTGTTTACTTAAACTAAACAACAAATTTGCAGAAATGAAACTTTTGGTCATAAAGAAATATATGCAGACCATTTTGAGCAAAAGTTACTTGCGCTTAAGTTTGCATTGAAAAGTGAGGATAAATGCGCTATACAGTAATAAACTATGTCAGTATTCACCTCAAAAGCTAACAAAACCTTTAAACAGACTTATTAAGAAGGGATATAGTTACGATACTGTTGTCAGTTCATAAGATTGCATATTTTGGCTTTAATATTGATTCACTTATAGGGTCTTTGCATCGGAATTAAGCATATTTATTCTAAAACCAGTTGTTGGCATGACACGGGTTATGTTCTTCTCGTATATTTTATGATGGTATAATACTAAACCCCTAACAGGAGGGATTGTGCCTGATCTTCATATGATGAAGACATAATCTTTCAATCAGTTTAATTGAGGTCTGGAGCTGGCATGTCAGTAACTGCTAGTAGTCTGTTGTTATTTATGTATTATTGTCATTTTGATTATTTTCTTTTGTTTCCTATTCTGACATCGGACTCGGACTTCTCTTAAACTGAGTTTTACTGTGCGTACTGTTGTACGTTTGTTTTTTCTACATTGGCTAGAGGTATAGGGGGAGGGTTGAGATCTCAAAAAACATGTTTAACCCCGCCGCATTTTTGCGCCTGTCCCAAGTCCGGAGCCTCTGGCCTTTGTTAGTCTTGTATCATTTTTAATTTTAGTTTCTTATGTATAATTTGGAGTTAAGTATGACGTCCATTATCACTGAACTAGTATACATATTTGTTTAGGGGCCAGCTGAAGGACGCCTCCGGGTGCGGGAGTTTCTCGCTGCATTGAAGACCCATTGGTAGCCTTCGGCTGTTTTCTGCTCTTTGGTCTGGGTGTTGTCTCTTTGACACATTCCCCATTTCCATTCTCAATTTTATTTTATACTTATAAAATTTAATATTTCCAGAAAACCAGAGGTAATTTTTAGTAGTACTTGACTTCCGAACGGTAGTATTTCATTAAAATACTTTAAACATTGGTTGGAAATTGGCATGTAGAAAGGTGATACATGTACAATTCAGAATATACCTGGTTTCTATGAAGTTAGAAAGAGGTGAAAGTTGCAAAATTCGGTTGCATAGATAAAGATTTTGAATTGGTGGTCTTAGGGAGCTACCATTTGATTTTTATGGAGGCTAGGATGAAATTTGAAAAAAAATAGGCAGGACAGGAGCTTTGAGTAAAAAAAAAGGCAGGATGAGACACTTGCAAAAAAAAAAAGTCAGGATGACAATTTAGGTAAAAAAAGTCAGGATAAACTTTAAAAAAAAAGGCAGGACCGAACAGAGTGAAAAATAAAAAGGCAGGACAGAGATTACAACTAAAAAAAAATGCAGGACACAATTTTTCATCCTAGCCTCCCCATAAAAATCAAATGGTAGCTCCCTTAAACCTTTACGAAATTTTTGAATAAATACTTGAAATTTGCCGAAATCGTACAAAAAGTCAATTGAATGGATTCATACTTCGGCTACAAGTTCAGAAACACGACATCAATTTGTTTATTTAAATTCAAGGAACACATATTAAACAGCGATACTATAAAAAATTGTTACGATCGGAGAACCTTTTGGAAATGGCTTTAGTGCATGTAAAATAAGTTGCGGGAAATTTGTTCATCACTTTTAAAGTGTATGATGACAGAAACAACATACAAGACATTGTGAAACACTTATCAGTGTCACATCCGAGGATTATTTCCTTATACATGTAACTGCTGTTGTTGACATGCCTACACATAGCATTCTTGTACAATTTGTGCTTCTGGCCAAACGTAGTGATCATGGATTCAGCTGCTTAAGGTAATATATGTACGTATATGTTTATTAGATTAACCTTTAGTTAATATCTTTCCATCGGGAAGTGAAGTACATCATTATTTTATTGAGGCCCAACATGGATGGAGAGTCAATTGAATGGATTCATACTCATACCACATCTTCTTATATCTATATATGTATATACTTTCTCCTGCCTCGTTATGAAAAAAATAGGATAGATAGGTAAGTAAAATTATTTAATTTTTAGATATTTTATATTTACTCTATACTTGTATAGGAAAATATTCTGGAGTTAACGGTGCTTAGCCACACATGTTTTGACTTTGGTGGTGTTTAACCGAAATTGCCCATAAAATGTTTTAGGCTAGGCGTGACCGTTAAGGAAAGGTAGGAAGGAACCAGGCAGAACTATATGAAGGCATGTAACAACAAAACAAATACTATAATAAACTCAAGCATCTTGATGTTGCGTTAATTTGCAAATATGTTCTGATGAACAAATTAAAGAACACAACCAACAAATATGCTTGTGATGAACAACGAACACACCCAACAAATATTGTATTTTAATATGTTTTCATTCCAGTAAAAATGATCTACTATTATCAAATAATTACATTTATTTACATAAAATTAAATCCTAAATTTTGATTGGCTGACAACAATCGCGAGGTATTCAACAGCAATGACTGCACGTGCTATCCGTGATATCGCGAGGTATTCAACAGCTATGACTGCACGTGCTATCCGTGATATCGCGAGGTATTCAACAGCAATGACTGCACGTGCTATCCGTGATATCGCGAGGTATTCAACAGCTATGACTGCACGTGCTATCCGTGACAATGTTAAAATAGTACATTGAAAAGTTAACGAAAAACTTGATTTATTATACTTCATGTCAAAATGCCAGATTTTGATAGGTTAATACGAGGGAGACAATTTACTCTATCCCATGGCAAATACTCTATTACCCTTCACGGAGACGCTTGCTCAAGTGGAAATATGCTTTGGTCAACGCTTTCACATCCCGATAAAATTATAAAAAAAAGCATTTAGTTCTTAAAAGCTACCAGCAGCTAATTTGGAAACTAAAATTGCCATATTTCCTCGCTGTTTTACTACAATTATTGTCATAGGTCAGTCGTATTGAATCCCAGGGGATAAGATTTAAAATATTTAAATGTATATATAATATTGTCAAAAATCTATTAAAAGGTTGTCAGAAAATTCAAAAAGTCTCCTGCGGAAAGAAAATAGTTTCTCTATAGAAGTTTAGATTTAAAAAATGATAAAACTCAACACACTGATACAATATACTGTACTGTAACACCACTGTCCCAGGTTAGGAGGAGGGTTGATCGTTTCAAACATGTTTAACCCCGCCACATTCTATATGTGCCTGTTCCAAGTCAGGAGCCTGTAGTTCAGTGGTTGTCGTTGGTCCATGTCTGTCATATTTGTTATTTGTAAACTGTTTTGTTATAAATGAGGCCGTTAGTTTTCTCAATTGAATTGTTTCATATTTTTCAATGTCGGGGCCTTTTATAGCCGACCATACGGTATGGGTTTTTCTCATTGTTTAAGGCCGTACAGTTGCCTATAATTGCTTACATCCACTTCATTTGAACTTAAGTGGATAGTTGTCTCATTGGCAATCATACCACATCTCCTTATCTTTATAAGGAAGAAGCACACAAACAATGGATTTTAAATATTTATATCCCAAATGAAGCAACATCTTTGATCACATTGTAAATCTATTTAAAATTCTCAAATAGTTTATCAAGAAAAAAAATATTTCCTTCACAGAAATATATATTTTGAGGCGAATCTAAGCTTATTTTACATAAAATTTCAGAAAGAGGAAACCGGAAAATTTATCATCTGATATGATTAATAACAAAGAATATGTCAATATTTCCAAGAATATGTGTACTTTATAAGTTTTCAATTAAATAATCCTTGATAGAAATATTCATATGTACATGTATGTCAAAAGATACGGATAATTTAGATGAACACATAAATATACAATATTAGGTCAATGTAAGAAAAATATAAACTTTCTTGTATGAGGCTGAGGAACTGGGGAAGGGCGAGGTTGTACCAAGCCCTTCCCCAGTTTTGTGCCGAATACAAAAAAGTTTATATTTTTCTGACATTGACCTGATATTGTTTTTATACTGCAACTTAAAATTAATACACTGATAGCTATTTTAATTGTAACAAACATTTCAAACTTATTTTCATCCCTAAATGGACCCCTGATTGTGGAAAAAGTGATCCATGATGAAATTGACATTGCACACAATATAGCTTTGTTACTATATTTAGGAAATAAACACAACTAGCTGTAGTATAAACATATTTGAATGTATGGCCGACCAAAAAAAAGAGTGTTAATAATGATATAACAGATAAAGGATGCAACAATCTTTGTAATATATTCCACTGGACGTTAAGTAAGCAAAAATAAACCAATCAAATTATACCATAGGACCGATGATACGTGGTTCACACGCAATTCAAATGACGATAACATATATAATATGTATTAATTTTATATTGATCGGCACACTCTACTCGAGTCAGTACTTTAAAATAAAAAAAATTTCTCACATTTTCCGATCCACGATGTGATTAAGACCTTGACCTCTGCTACATGAAGGTGTGGATGGGGGTTTACAGAATAGAGAAAACTGGACAAACAATATAAAAAATAGAGAAAAGTGGACTAAAATATAAAAAATAGAGAAAAGTGGACTAAAATAAAAAAAATAGAGAAAAGTGGACTAAAATATAAAAAATAGAGAATAATTGGGAAAAGTATAAAGGATATAGAAGAATAGGCAAAAAGTATAAATAATAGAGAAAAATGGGCTAAAAAATTAAAGAATACAGAAATGAAGACCCCCTCCCCCCAAATCCAGACCCTCCTACATGTTCTCGTAGGTGGTTTAAGACTTTTCTTTTTGTATTTGTGTTCCGTCATCTTATTTTAATATCTTCAATGAAACTTAGAAATGACTTCAAATCTTCTGTTTAAAAGTACTTCAAAATATATGTCATCTTGCACCCCAACATCTGTTTTTCTGAGCATTACGCCCAATGCAGTCAATACGTTATCTAATCCGGGTTGTATTTGGCATAGCAAAAAACAATATTGTCGTCCGTAAACGATCAGTACGTTTTCGAAATGCATTGGAACACTTCTGGCGGTTGTGCCATAAAATTAAAAAAGTCGGGCGGACCCGATTCCGGAACATGAAAGGCAATCCAGTGACTTCTCATTTTGTCAAAGTTGTCCGTATTGGGTTTGTCAATCATGTATGTTGATAAGTCTTTTGCACAGCAAACGGTGACCGACCGTCCACTAAAGATTTTTTCAGATGTCTTTCCTGTCTTCGGAAAGTCGACTGATTTGTATGTGACCCAGTTTAAAGCCCCGGCGGTTACAAAGACCAGTATGCAGCAGGTATGACAAGCTTTAAGATCCTCTTTGCTATCAATTGGGTCAGAGTTTTCTCCATGTAAGGTCACTTCATCCGAGGTGTCGGACGCGTCTTCCGATATTTTGTCTTCCTCTATCTCTTGACTGGGGTAGGGGTATCGACTCCTTTGCCTGCGAACAAGGCATTAGCGCGCAGTCTCAACGACTACGGGGTTCACGCTTTCATATCAACCAAGAGAAAGCCGAACATTTTGTCCGAAGCCAACAATCACGCAGTGGTATGACATAAATACTGCAATGAAGTTCTTAAAGGGACATCAGCCTCGATTTAGACAGCAGATTGAAGTATGAATATTTTTTCAGCCATTTATAAACACTGAAGAGTGAAAGATTAATTTGCTTTTAGCAGTCATCTTGGTTCAATTTTGTCAAAAAAAGCCCAACATCATCGATGATACATTATTGTCTTAAAAAAACAATAATAGAACCTCATTTTGGTTCGTTTGTATGACACCTTTGGTTTTGATCCTTAGTTGGAGATAGATTGTGCCTGTGCTCAGCATGTTCAGTTATTAACAACACAAGAATGTTAAGGATATATTCTTCTGATGTTTCAGTCTCGTTGAAATCTCGTTCGGGAATTATTTCCAAAACATGTGATACAATTGGAAAATAAACAATGAATTGAAAAAAATATTATAATAAAACTAAACTCTATGAAAAAATTGTGTACTACAATGAGTAGTTTTTGAATAATAAGATTTTCAAATTTTATAACCAATCCTGTCAGTGTCATCAGCTAAAATGTTGAGAAAATGGGTGAGAAGAACAAAGAACTAAATGATTTTACCAAAACATGTACATCCCATATCAATTTTTTCTTTTCAAAATTCTTAGATATGTATTTTTTCAATTATTTATAACGAAGAAGTTGAAATAATATCCTTTTGTTCAAAAAAAAGAGAAAAATCACAAATTGGCAAAATTGACAGCATGGTCAATTTGACACGAAAAAGCAACAAAATTTTATAAAACTTTCTAATATTAACACCAACATATAGTTTTTTTTAAGTTAAATTTATTCAGATTGGTCCACTTCATCTTTAGTGAAAGTATGAAAAAAAGTTTAATTGTGAAACTGATTTTTTTCATGATAGTAGCCCAAAAATGGGTAAAAATTGATGAAAAATGGGGAAATCATTAAGAATTGGTACTTTCAAATGGCCGTAGCAAAAAAAGTAATTACTTTCTTACAGTCATATATGAACCCAAAAATCAGGTTAAGAAAAAAAGTTTAATTCTAGAAACTTTTGGCCCCTGAAATTGCGACAAAGTTAACCTTATTCAAGCCTTTTAAAATTACGTTAATTTTTTTGATACGTGAACAGGTTAGTATAATTTGGACAACTTAGCTTATAAAGGTCACTTATAATGTCACTATGACGTCATAAACATGTCAAAATTTACGTTTTGACAAAAAATTGCCATTTAAACGCATAGTTTTTGATTTATTATTCAAAATAGATTTTTTTATGCTGGTAAATATTTTTGTATGTTACAACTCAAA